AAGTCTGATTAAAGTTCTTGAGTGGAAACTTCTCACTTTTACTTGAGTAAAATATAGTATATAGTAAAATTACTCTTACTTAAGCCCAACTTCTGGGGGCTCTCTTCCCTTCTGTATATAACTGAATTGAACTAAATAGAACAGAAGCAAATTAAACAACCTTTTGTTGAACTATACTAACATTACCTTCAATCTGTAAGGGGTGTGTGTGACACACTATAGAGGTGGAGTAAGCAGTATGTTTTAAATATCCTCTTTACACATGCATGCATAGGATTTTTTTTTAGGAATGAAAGGGTTCCTGTGATCGTAGATTAAAGTAGCCATTTAAAACTAAACAGTCTTATTTTCTCATATATTTTTAGGAACTAAAAGATTAATTGTTTTTTGTTTTATTGCTGCAAATAAATACCACAAAAAATTATTAGAATCTGCTCTATCAGGCATTGATACACTTAATACTATACATTTAAGGATGTTCAAAAGCAAGGAAACACTCGGGTAGGAGATTCAGAATAAAAAACAAAAAATTCACTTTAAATGATAAAAAGTTGTATTTAAAGTTGTACCTTGTATTTAAATCATAACTACTCATAAAAAGCAGCTGTTTTTCAAGGTAAATGTGGTCAGCTTTATTAGTCTTCTAACTTTCCAATTACTAATCCAATATAGGCCCTCAGAAATTCAGGTTTTGTCTGCATGAGGTTCTAAAAAGAGTGTGTACCTGAAAAGAAAATCATTTTAATATATTGGAAACAAATATACATAAACATTGTGTCTGCATACTATGTGAAAAAGTGCCTGTAAGTGTATATTTGCGGAAGGATCAGTGCTCCTACATACACTAGGCGAGGATGAGCGAGCAGCCTTTTCCGGACCCTCTTTTGTCTTTTTAGGCCCACTGGGAACCAGAAACACGCTGTGCTATTATCACAGCAGATTGTTTTAGTGTGAGGAGCAAAGTGAGCCACACAGATGGGAGTTTGTATTTGTGTTCCTGTGTGTTTGTTATGATATGCGTGCTGTACGGTCTTTAAAGATGGCCAAACCTTTCATGTAACATTGCAGCTGACCTACTGTCCACTCTCACGCTACTGTTCCCAACACAATGGGAGACTAATGTTGTTATACGCCCATACTTAGAAAAAAAAAACAGATTTGCACAGGGTAACACCTAGAGTGGTGTTCACTGCAAGTGCTAGACACACAGTTGGGATTTGACATTTAAACATACTCTCACATCTCTTAGGGGCTTTTCTAAAATCTCAGGAGGCATACTATTATTTTGTTGCATGTAATCTTCTGAACAAAGTAATAAAAAATGTAATTTCATAAAAAAGGAAATTTTGCAAATAAAAATAATTTTGATAATTCAACAGTAAGAAGAGTTTGTTCAGACTTTTGTAACTAAAGTAATTTGTCTTTTCTGTTTTCAAATGTAATTGATAAAATCCCAGGTATTCAAAGGTACTGGACAAGGCCAAGTTGCTTTAACTGTATTGTTTATGATTAGCAGATTATAGATCCCTGAATCAGAGGGAGAGATTTCCTTCGTCATCTCAGGCTGCTTTATTTCAGGCTTCCTTAATTCATAGGATGAGTGAGTAAATACAATGTATATCTGCGAAAAACACAACTAATTAGTGTAATGTCAATAAAGAAGACAAATGGGTCTCCTCTGTAAGTTTGTGGCAGGGAATTAGATATAAAGAAATAGCATTTATATCCATTTTCGTCACACTCACAGGTGTTGCCGATCTCCAGCTGTCTACAGGCGGCGTACACCCTGGACAGGTCGCCAGTCCATCGCAGGGCAACACAGAGACAAACAACCATTTACACACACACTCACACCTAAGGAGAATTTAGAGAAGCCATTTGACCTAAAAGTCATGTTTTGACTGCGGGAGGAAGCTGGAGTACCCTGAGAGAACCCATGCATGCACAGGGTGATCATGCAAACTCCATGCAGAAAGACCGCGGGCCGGGAATCAAAGCATTGCTTCTTTGCTGCAAGGAAGCAATGCCACTGACTGCAGCACTGAGCAGCCGAAATAGCATTTCCCACTTACATATTTATTCAATTTGGGATTTTTGTGTCCCTCGATGAATTAAGACCTGCATGAATACAAAACGTGACTTTTAAATACATATTGAATTTAATAAGTAAATGGCCTGTAATTATAGGCTATGTTCACACTGCAGCCTGAAGTGAGCCAACTTGTTTCTGATCTTTTCATGACAGTCTAAACAACACAAATCCGATATTTTCAAATGCTTCCAAGACCACTTGGGTATGTGACCCTAAATCTGATACATATCTGAATATGACTCACATTCATATCTTAATGGCATTTATGACATTACGTCTGCAACAAAGAAGCAGGAAGAAAAAACAACCATGGCAGACAATAATGCAGAGAGGAGTTTTTCTTTTTGATCTTCTTGAACAGAGTGCATTGTTAATGCCCTTGCTCTGTTTGGAAAAGAAAGGAAATTT